CGTGGTAAATTTGCATCGTCCTTGTTACTTTCTTTTACTTTCTTTTATTTTCTTTTTCCCTTTTCTGTTTCTATATTGCCCATTCTCAGTGAAAAGTAATCCCACAGACCGGTCTTTACACAGGGTGTGAGTGTAATTCTAATGTCATCGGACATGACACGAGTTTTCTGAAAATAAATTAATTCCGTTTGAAAGAAAATTGGGGGAAATTGCAAATAAATTTTCTAATCGAAGCTTTGTTTTTGAAAAAATCAATCTTCAAAAGATCTTTCGGTATTCGTGTATTTTATGAGAAATTTGTTATGTCTGTGTCTACGTTAGTTGATATTGTTGTACATAATTCTTAAATTTTAAATTTCTAATATGATCTTTAAATTTTGAGTTTTCACTAATACGTATATTTTAAACATTAGATACCACTGAATATCAATGAATTCATGCAAAGAAATTTTAGGATTCTGTTAAAAAAAGTGCGCATTGAAATTGTATCTGTGAAAAAATATTTTAAATTCAAGATTTTTGTCAATTATTTATTTTTCTGACTTTACTCGAAATGCTATTTTGATTCATCTGAGAGTTTTAGTTGTTAAATACATCATCTATGTGATAGGAAATTTGAGATATTTTATTCTACTGATTTCTTTAGAAATATGTTATTAGTATTAGGATACTTAGTATCTAAGAAGTGGGAGAAAAACAAAATTGGCATAAATTTTATTTTATTTTAAACTTGAATTATTTAATTCTATTTTATCGAGTGTTTTACAATACAAAATGATTTTCTTCAATTTGTGAACCTCCCAAATAACAATTATCGTTTTTAAAATGTGCAAATCACTTCTGTATAACACTCTCGCTACAGTATCATTTCTATAAACTGTACATATCTCTATTTCAATCTTAATTACACTTTTGTGTTTTTAATAAGGATAATCTTCATAGCCAAAAATTAAATATCGACCATGCCATTTTCTCTTCTCCATTTTCTTTTTACTATTTGTTACAGCCAGTAAAATGTTAATAAATCTTATTATTCTTTGCTTTAACTAACGTTCAAAATTATGATCTTTAAGGTTACATTGGAAAATAATAATATAAATGACGAATGGTCATCGTCATGAATTTTACAAATCTCATATTTTGGAACAATCCTATAATATTTGCCCTAATATTTGTAGGCATGTTTATAGCCAGTAGAATACAGTCGTTGATGAAAATATTTGAACCCTTGTATCCTAAAATAACCAATTTTTTGAGACGAAGAAATTACGAAAAAAGAATTCGAAGATTTAAAAATTTTTAGAATTATCGCTATTTGTAAGGCTAAAATATTTGAAATAAATCTGAAAAATAAATCTAAAGTCACAAAATTATCACGGATATATTCGAACATGGATAATTCAAAAAAAGAAGGAAAAGGAAAATATACTTTGCAAATTTGTAATATATTAAATATTTGCATTAAAGTTGAAAATTAAAAATAACTCTGCACCTAAGGCAAGATAAACGAGTTGAAAAATTGAGAAAAAATTTAACAGTAAATACAAAATTTGTGCAATTTGTGGAAAATATTCAGTTTGAACGTACCTTTTACCGAAAGCATGAAAGTATTCAAAAGTGTGAATTATTTTCGTATTAATTCGTGTTAATATTTCTTTGAATCAGTTTTGGACTTAACCCTTTGCTCCCTTCAGTCACTATTTGATAAAATTTCGAAGCTCGATATTAATTAATATGTCAAATTTCAGATAATGGTATGCGAGGTATCGAAATCAAATAATTCTACGTGTTAATTATCACACGACTTCTTATTCACTGCTGAGAAAAATATCGTCAGCTTTGTAACAGAAAATCTTTGAACTCCTATTCTCCTTTAGCCAAAAAATCGTCGAGTGTAAAGGATTAATTGCAATATTGATTTCCCTTTATTCGATTAATTTTCTGATCTCCATAAATTGGCATATTTCAATAAATTTTCTTATGTTCTCGATATTTGATTTTATTTCAGATGCGAAAATTAAATTTTATATTTCATATTTATTTTTATTAAATTTATTTCAATTACTTTTTACTACGAATGTCGATGATCTCGAAATTTAAAAAAATTTTTTAAATCTTCGTGTTTTAGATTTGTGAACAATTCATTTGTTCAAAAATTGTGGAAACATTTTGAAATATTGGGGAAAAAAAGAAATTCATGCAAGATCGAAGAAATATCGAAATATGACAAAGTTTTGTATTCTTTTTGTTGAAATTTATATTAACGAACAGCAGAATTATATTTCATTTACATTCTAACGTCAATATGCTGTTTCTTTTTCAATTCCACGTATCATTTATTTATTTATTAATACCACGTTACTTTTTTAATTCTAATTGTAGGTTGTAGGTAATATTCATGAGTACATATGCTTACTATGCATAATAATATGCATATTCTTGAGTAACTCTATATTTTTTAGATAAATTCTAGTCTTATGTTCTTCCACATATATGTGGAAGATATTCATTATATATATGTTATAACATTAAGAAGATATAACATTATATATATGTTAGTAAAGATATTCTTTAAAGATATCTTTTACTAACATATTCAAAAAGACGCACATTTTAGGGAATTTTTCTCAAGAAAATTATGAGATAAATAGACATGAGAGTTTACATTTTTATTTATTCATATTTGGGGAATATTCGTTATCTTTTCCTGATATAAAATAATGAAAATTGAAATTTATTAATTCTTTTTACGACAAGAAGTGTTGAAAACGTTCTTGTTATTACTAAATGCAATTATACATACTAAATGACGAGTTGGTGCAATTTTCATTGGTGTTTTCTATATTTATTTTTTAAATATTCACGATATCCATTTCGTGGAATTTCATGGCTGAAAGTCAGAAAGAGGTTTTAGTTAAATACGCGTTTGTTCAACGAAATTTCAATATTATTTTTTTATTAAATGATGCAGTAACACTACACACTTACAGTGACCAGTCAAAAGATCCTTTTTAAATTTTTAATCAAAGATTATGCATTTTTATTTCTTTTGTGACTTGTTTCAACGATCTTTTCATGATATAGTTATCTTTGACAAACGTTGAGAAACAAAGTAACGATTTGCGAATTTTTGTATATTCTTTATAAGGAAAATATTCGAAGGAAACTTATTGTTTATTAATATATTTCTTCGTGGTATTTCTAATTTTAGTACATACAAGTTATTCTATTTATCTCGAGCACACGTAACATCTCTGTTATTTCTGATGATACAAAAATTAGGTACGGGAAAGGTTGCATAGTTCCACGAGGTGAAAATAACAGTAGAAGAAAATAATTTTTCCAAGGTCATTTAAGCCGAAATTTCAAACTCGTTAATTTTTTAACCCATTTGCATCATGGCTCTACTTAAGGTGCCGTGTTCAGGCATCAGCGACGTTCAACTGACGACTAGCCCGTATCACCGCGCGCGTATCAGCACCTACTTATAATGACAGTTAAAAGGATTTTCACGACAAAAGTAAAACTTGTTAAGAATATAATGAACCGATGTAAATGAGATGCTCGCAAAAGGGGTTAAACGTGATCTGTGGTATAGGAAGAATATTCAGCAACTGGTAATGGAAAAAGTCAGCTCGCGGATTATTCCGCGCTCGGTGATAGACGACAGTCGTAGCTCGCGGAATATTCCGCGCTCGGTGATAGACGATAGTCGTGGTTCGAGGAATATTCCGCGCTTGGATGCAAATGTGTTAATACTTTACTTATTGACGTAATAAATTTGTAATTACAAATATCTGAAAGACTGTCAAGTGTCTACCCCACAACAAAAGTAAAACTTGTTAAGAATATAATGAACCCATATAGATGAGATACTCACAAAAGGGATCAAACGTGATCTGTAGCATATGAAGAATATTTAGCAACTGGTAATGGAAAAAGTCAGCTCGCGGATTATTCCGCGCTCGGTGATAGGCGACAGTCGTAGCTCGCGGAATATTCCGCGCTTGGATGTAAATGGGTCAAATGGAACTGTATATTTTCGAAATAATTTTAACGAAATAATATTATTACGTGAATGAAAATTTCTATACTTAATTATATATATCGGAACATAAAGAAAAAGAATAAAGTTCGCAAATGATTATCTGGTTTCTCAAATTTTGTCACTCGGAGTATAATCATGTTTTCAATATACAGGGTGTTCCAGCAACGGTAGTACAACCGGGAAGGTGGTTATTCTACGTGCAGAATCGAATCGAAAAAAAAAGAATAAAATTTTTTCATTTGAAGCTTCGTTTTTCAGAAAATCGATTTTGGATATTCACCGAGTACGCGTGCACTTAACCCTTTGCACTCGGCGATTTTTTCGTTTCAGGAAACTAGTAATTCGAAGACTTTCTGCCATAAGGTCGACGATATTTTTAACCCTTTCGCTACTGCGGGTGACTATAGTCACTGGCCACGAGACGCCATATACACACGACGGGTGATTATAGTCACCGGCCACAAAAATTGAGTAAAAATTAAAACAAGTGTTACCGTTCCTCTTCGCAAAGAATTGTAAGCGCTATTGCGATGGTCGGTCTTTCCCCTTTTTTGTTTTCCTTCAAAAGATTTGACCTCGAATGCTAAAGACTTCACGATCTTAATGTTTCCATCATTGGCACGACGCCTCGTAGCGAAAGGGACAAAGCGGCAAATAAGAAATCGTATGCAATTTAAGAATTAGAATTATTTTACTTCGATATTCCACGCATCGTTGCATAATTGTAAATTTGATATATTAACGTCCATCCTTAGAATCTGATTAAATGGCGACTGAGAGACGCCTCTCTCGTGCAAAGGGTTAACTTTGGCTAAGGCGGAGGATCATCTGTAGTCGATTTTCTTAACAACGAAGCTTCGAGTGAAAAAATTTTATTCTCTATTTTCCATTTGTTTTTTCATGTAGAATCAGTTCCTTCCCGGTTGTACTATCGTTCCTGAGCCACCCTGTATATTTTTCTTTCTTCTATTTCTATTTTCCTATTTCGTTTCTTCTGAGATTCATAGATAGTCTGTTTCGTTGAGAAATTTATGTGCTTCAATAACGTACCAAAAAGATGTAAGGGCAATAAAGCCAGCAAAATCTGTTTCCAGAAAAATTCGTTCTAAGAAGTATGTTCGTGGAAAAGTTGCAATGGCGAAACCTATAATCTCTATAAAATACGTTGGGCAGGAAGGAGATATCTACTATTATTTTCCAATTGTACGAAAGACTATTATTTTTTATTTTTTGCTCGTATTCGAATTTGAAGAAACGAAGAAATGAATTCTTTTATTTTTTCCTAAAAATTATTTCCTTCGTTTATTATCACTCGTATTAATCCTTGCACCACGATGACGAGTCTATTTCGTTGTCAATGTTTCGTGTCAACTGCCACGCTTATCTGTTACCTTTGTCATGTGACCAAAATTATATTTAACGTGTTTTAATCATGCGCAAAATTTGAGGCAATTCTAAAATTTCTTTATAACTTTGTCCTGAATGGAATAGACATAGTAGTTAACTAAAATTAAATACTTTTTCAATACGCAATATTTTATAGTCAATTGATAGTGCAGGGGGTTAAACTGGTTCTCATCTGCACTCACAGTACCAGTTATAAGATATTGTCAGTTATAAAGAAAAATAATGTTTATTTATGAATTAATTATTTAAATGGTTCTTTAAAAATAGGTATATAGTATAAAAATCGGTAAATTTACTAGAAAATAAACAATTTTATTTTTTAAAGCTCTATGCTCTCGTTTTATCTTTTCATGTGGGTTATATTATTGTTACGACCACACCCTGTGATACGAATAAGGTTTGCATTCTGACGAAATACATGCGTAATAGTAAATTTAATTGCAGAAAGATGCAGGTATAATATTTCAATATTTATTCTCATTACATTGTTATGACATTTGTATGATTTAATCGCGTAATTATATATATTTTATTGATCAAATAATATTTTATCAATTGACGATTATCTCTTATCGTGTCTCCATGTGAGTGATACGAACGATAGATGTATCAAAATTACTATTACGTATACTTTCAATAATTTTTCACAGATAATTTTTGATTTTAGTTCCCAATTTTTGTTTCTTATTAACCTGTTAACTAGTAACTTAACTTGTCAACCGAATTTTTAATACCTTCATCACGATTTATTTAATTAAGGATATTTCTTTTCTAATAATTATTGCTAATAACTATTAGAAAATGATGTTGCAATATTTACATCTATAATAATTAAAATGAATTAATTCACTTTTATTAATAGACAGCGTATATTTATTCAAATACATATTTTTACAGGAAATGGATGAAGTTATGGAACCTGTATAAAAATTCGTTTTCTTATTAAAAAGTTTTAAACATATAGTTTTTATTTCGCGTATTTTTTATACACTACTAACGTTTCGCATAAGAGCACATTTTTTAGTTAATCAACAAGTTAATTAATTAATTGATCTTATCAAAAAATATAAAAAATATACCCGGTGATTTTGAACAAAAGATAAGACACGAATGTCATTTTCATGATCATTAAGATTTATACAAATGAATGAATTACGTAGCAGTGAATAATGAATTAAAACATTTATATAAATATTTTAGATACATATCTCATTTCTTACAAATTATACATAAATTCAAATTCTATTACAAAGACGTTGTCACTTTAATTCCTTGTGACCCGTAATTATTTAAAAAATTTTTTTTAGTATGACTATAATTATCTTTAGCGTATAGTCTGGTAGGTTCGTACCGAAATCAAAGAAATTGGGAAAAGATGAAAACGTTTATCAGTTTAATCTCTAATAAAAATAAAAAATAAATTTGTTATATAAGCTTTGTTCAATTATACTGAATATAGGGCTCCAGAGAGTTAGTGTAGTTAGTCTGAAATTGGCGTTTAAAATTGGTAAAATTTAAATGTAAAATATCGACGAGCTACAAAAAATTCTGACATAGTATTGATTTAAATTTATATTACATTTAAATATGCTCTTATAACGTTTTATGAAGAAAAATTTTTATTAGAAAAATCGTTTCCAGTTAATAAATTCATTTTAACCGAAAATAGACGCAATTTTACAGTTGGTAAATTTTCTTACATGGACTTGTCTTACAAGGAGAATGCAAGTCCTTCGAGTCACAGATTTAGTTGAAACTTTGCAGGTTAGTAGATTTAATCGTCCAGAAACTACTCAATAGTTTTTGAGATATTTGTGATTAAATCTTTATTATTCTTAACTAGAGATTTCTTCCGAATAGTTATCGATAGTTATCAAGTGGCACTATGGCCTAACGGCACTTGATAAATATTCGACATAAATCTGTAATTAAGGCAATAATAAAACTCTAATCATAAATATCTCGAAAACTATCGAGTAGTTGCCTTTATAATGACATATTTTCTTAAACTGGATGACTACATCTACAAACCTGCAAAGTTTTAACTAAATCTGTGACCCGAAGGACTTGCACTCTCCTTGTTAGATACATTTTGCATATATTTTGAATATTTTAACATATCATACCTGTATAAAGATCTATTTGCTGTCTATTTATCGATTCTCGATGCGGAGGAAAATTTTTGATGGAAAAAATAATTTAGTTAACAGGTTAAAATTACTGTCCCACATTTCCTCTTTTACTTTTTACTTTTGTGAATGAACTTGCGCTTGCTAATTGTTATCTTTCGCGTTCCTTGAACTACATTACTACACGCTATCTAGATTATCTCGTATTATTCCAGAAGAAACTTCATTTCGAAGTTACCACATTCTTTTTCATTTTTCTCGAAACTTACTCCATGTTCTTATTTTCTTATTTTCTTATTATCTTTCCCTCGTTTTTTCTCTGCCCGTAATTATCATTTCCAGCTGCTACAGTTTCTCATATTCATTTCTTCATCTTTCAGTAATTCGTCATGCTCGTTTTTTTTGTTTTTGTCAGTTCTTATTCTCGTTTATGGTTTTAGTTCACGAGCTAATTTCATGTTCTTTTTCACTCATGCGTCTCTCTCGTTCTTTTTCTCATCTTATTTATTTTTCTAGCTCTATTATAATTCTATTACTCCATTTGGTCGGTCCTGTTAGGTAACAGATCATTAATTATATTTATTTTCTTCCCGCTTGCCCATTTTGTCTTTAATTACCTGTAATTACCTGCTGTTCTTTCCAATCCTTCGTTATGACGCAGTTGGACAAGCACTATATTTACGGTGATTTGAACTGTAACCGTATATACTTTTTCACGGATAAAGGAAAGAAAAGTTTTAGTATCGGAAGCCTAATTAAATATTATTAAATCGTACTATATTTCATCTCCTATGATGTTTAATAGTTTTTAATAATATGTTTATGTTTGCTTAACAATATTTTGCAATATTTGAAAATATTTAACGATATTTGACAATGTTCGACAATATTTGACAATATTCAATAATATTTGATAATATTTAACGATATTTAACAATATTCAACAATATTTGACAATATTTAACGATATTTGACAATATTTAACGATATTTGACAATATTTGATAATATTTAACGATATTTGACAATATTTAACGATATTTGACAATATTCAACAATATTTGACAATATTTTACAATATTTGACAATATTTCATGATATTTAACAATATTCGATAATATTTGACAATATTCAATGATATTTGACAATATTTGACAATATTTGAGAATATTTCATGATATTTGTCAATATTCAACAATATTTGACAATATTCAGTAATATTTGATAATATTTAACGATATTTAACAATATTCAACAATATTTGACAATATTTGACAATATTTAATGATATTTGACAATATTTAACGATATTTGACAATATTCAACAACATTTGACAATGTTCAATGATACTTGACAATATTTAATGATATTCGACAATATTCAATAATATTTGACAGTAGTCAATAATATGTGACAATATTTAATAATATTTTGCAATATTTAACGACATTTTGCAATACTTAATAATAATATGGAATTACATAATACTTTTTACCGCCTATCGATTTTCTACCATTTCTGCTTCCTATGTTGTTCCTTAACCTCACTTTCCTATTTCTACTTAAATCTTCGTTATTTCTAATTTTTCTCTTTTTACTATACTTGGATGTTGCACTAAATCCTTGACCTTCTTCCCTTATTTCTTTTTTACTCTATTTTCAACTATGTAGTAATTTTGCGCTCCTTTTTATTCTTCGTTATTTGTCCTGGATTTTCAAATTCTGCTTTTATTATTATTGTTACGAAACATCCGATTAAATATTGCATTTGAAATTGCAGTTCGTAATTACATTCTTCGTACTAAAATTTATTTATAAAAATTACAAGAGAAAATTGAGGCGTTTCAATATTCATGCAAAGTTCATTGCAAATATTGAGGTTAGGTTTATGGACGACTACTCTAATGGCTTTTCGTAGCGGAAAGATTAATGTTTCACTAACTACCGTATTCTAAATTCCATTTATTTTCACTTTAAAATTTCTGTTTCATTTATCTCATAATTTTTGTCCGTTTCTTTTCACCACGACGTCTCTCAGACTAATATTATGATTCATTATAAATAACAGTTTTTATGCATTTCCAGTCCATTGTCCACGCATGAAACTATAATAAAATATCTCGTTTACTCTCGTAGTATGCACCCATCGATTCCCTGCTTTTTCGTACCGTGTTTCATTTCTTGCCTAACTAGGAAGCTGGTTCTTCCAAAAAATCTTGACAATCATGTACCATCATCGGTAGGTGCACTTGGGGGAGGGAATAGCAGTTTGCGAGGAACAACTAAGGGCTGTGAAATGGAGTGATTACAGAAAATTGACCCGTGGTCTAGCTGCAATTTTGTTCAGTCCCACCGAGTTGGCCACCTGCTCGGTCACAGGACAACGATGGAGCCGAGCTGGAACTGCCACTGAAAGACCGGTGAAACCAGCGCTAGATAAGGCCAAAGTACAGGCTATCATATGTAAGTAACATTTATCGTATTTCTTTAGCACATTCGTAAAGTATTGAGTCACTCTTCATTTTACTAGGTTGTGTGACATGAAATGTCGTTTTTTCGAAACAACGTACATTTAATTATGAAAATTTATACACCACTGCATTCCGATATATTGAAATATGTTATATGCAATACTAATTATCGATTACCACGCTGTTGACTTAGTCGTTGAAAATTATGTCAAGTTGAAATTCTGCTGCATATAGTTATCTTCTATTACTATATCTTATCATTGTTTGGTAAATTTATCGAGTATAGAGAGACGTCCATTCGTATTATTCGATTTATATTTCACTGTGAAATTTTTGAAATTTGTGCAATTTAAAATTATTAGTCAAGAAGATGTTTTAATTTGAATATTGCTATATAATCATCATTATATATTATCATTCTTATTAATAACATAATTTCTGTAAATAAGGTTAGGTTAACGACATTCAAACTAAAATATGTTCTGAACTTTTCGATATACAGGAATTAGTACCTTTTTGAGAAAACACCGAGTTTCATAGACGAATACGTTAAAAACATAACCTCTACGCGTTCTGCTACAGAAAAACTAATTTTATCATTTTATATTCCCATTCGTACCAGACAGTTCTTGCTTGAAACATTTTTAAAATAAAATAAGTAGTTCATAAATGATTCGCATTTATCGATAAAAATTGAACACTCCACTTATACAAAGTGAATCACGATATTTGACAACGCGAAATATTTAAAAAAATATTTACAGTACAAAAAAATGTTTTATATAAAATTTGCATAATTTCAAAAGAAATATTCTGTATTGTAATCAATATTATGTTGTTTTGCTTTTTTTAAATCAAAGTATGAAGACCATTAACATATTTTTTTTCTTTGCTTGATGTTCTTTCCTAATTCGGATAAAGCATAAAATTCTGTATAAGAAAGTATTATACCAAATAGGGTCTAAAATTAATAATTATCGAAATATTCCGAAATTAATTATCGCTTATTAGTAATCATACTAATTCAACGAGACTATTGTCACGATGAAATAGCAAAATAACATGAAACTGATTATACCACTGAATGTCCAGCTCGAAACTGTGCAATTACCATCCAAAACGTATTTTTATATAATAAGTATTTTTGAAGATATTTTCAGTCGACACGTTGCATGACTCACCCTGTATATTACGCCTTACAGTATCCATAAGGTTACAAAAATCATTATCATAAAGAAAAGAAAGGTGTGTTATCTAGGGATAGATTATCTAGGAATAGATTATTAAAATATATTAGGGAGCAAAGCAAGAAAACGTTAAATAAGTTTCAACGAATTACTGTTGCATAATTGCAAGTCGAAGGAATACTATAATGACTAGAATGGAAAATTCGGAGTATAACGTATTACGTATTATCATACTGCCTATGCGGCACGGAACGTGTTAAAAATTTATTCTGTTTACTTCTTAGAAATAGTACCGTGCATAGTTCAAAGAGTGATCGACAGATGGCGCACCGGTCTACGTTCTCGTATATGATCATGAGAAATAAAGTACGCGTGTTTTACTTATTGGCCGAAGCAACAGCGCGCGTCAGTGTTGCCAACGTGTCTTTGGGAGCCTGGTGGGGAAATTAGGTGTGAGCGAACTACAGCGAGATCTCGAATTCGCGGGAAATTGGTTTCAAGGTTCCTTGCGGACAGCAGTGAATGTACTATGCGCATAATATACAGTACACGTGTAACGTAATATGTTATTATACGAGTTATTTATCGTTGCTAATAACTAATAATTAAGTTCAGCACAATCTATAATACAATCGATCTTTTCTAGTCTAATCTTCTGCATTCATATAGAATATCGTTTATCGTTATCAATTTATTTTAAATTTATAAATACCATCGGTACTAGAATTTTCAAAAAATCTTTGAAATTATTAGATACTGTCTTAATCAAGATATTTTATTAATAAAATATCCTCCTTGCTACTTTTGTGTCTCTTATGTAATAGGTACAAAAGGTTTTGACAAACTATAGTGAAAGAAAATTTACCTAACCTAAAATTTTTATTTTAATGAAGGTTTGCATGTATGTAGAGTATAATGAATTACACAAAGAGACATTTTTTTATCCTCACATGATAAAGTTAGTCCTCAAAATTGAAGTACTTTTTCGCGTTTTGAGTACAACTTTGCCTTGCTATTTTTTACTATAGGGTGATACAGAAATAAAAATCTAACATTTTTTATACGAAAAATTTTACCATGACCTGCATCATTACAAGTGTAAAGCTTGAAAATTCGAGTATCGTTTCATTTGTTTAAAGTAATATTCAATTAAAAACCAAATTTTCTTTTAATATAGGGTGGCAATTTTTTACTCACTATAGGTAATGGAAGTGCGTTCATATCTGTTGCTACTTACTTTCTGTATTATCTGGTTTTACATACTATAAATAAATTCATTCGTTGAACTATTGTAGGTGCTTGAAAAAAGTAAAAGAAAAGAATTTCTGTAAAATCAAAAGGACTGAGAAATGGCGGTAAAATTTGGTTCTCTCATTTGCATAATAGTTTCGAGATATGACATTAACGTACAACAGGAGTACGTTCCACTTGTATTCTAGCGCGGATTGTTTCGTTATTAATTCCACGTGCATTTCACGTATTCATTAACAGTATTACTCGTAATTATAGTTCCAAATTGCAGGACTATGATTGCATACGTTCCTGGAACGGTCACGATTAAACAGGATGTTTCAGCTTAAGGTGATCACCTGAATATCTTTTTTCATATCCTAACCTTGGATATAATACTAAGCATTTTATTTCAATTGTTAAAAGAAGAAAATAATACTATAGAAGAAAACCTTTTCCTCGTTCGAAAATTTATATTTACGATAAATTTTGTAGATTTTTCCTAGGGTAAAAGAATTACAGAAAAATTGAAAATATATCCTAATCATTGGTGTAACGTTATTTCGATATTTCTGTTGGAAATTTAGTTAAAATTTGATACACGTGCATTAGGAGAAGCAATTTCTGTTTCATTTTAATACGGTCATTGATAATGGAAGATAAAACAAAATTTAAATTCCATGCCAAAGTTTAAAGTCTGAGGAAATGACATTTTATATACTCCAATCGAATGCTCTTATCATACTTAAATTTTATCGCGCTTATTTCAATTTTGAAGAATTTCGAATCACAGATAGAACACAGTAAATATCACTGCTAGGGAAAATTACGAATACACTGCTCGAATTTTTTATCTTCGAATATTTCATTTGGTTGAAATTTTTGAACGAAATTTTAAGCAGATAGGAAGATAGATTATTTTGATTCCAATTTTACCCTAATTAATTTGCGAAAATGAATGGAACGTTTATGAGGCATTTATGTCGAGATGAATATGGAACAATACCAGTGCAATAGCATAGAAATCAAATCAGGAAATTCATATCTATAATATATGTATGCCTATTATAATAAAATAATAATATCGTTTATTCCAAGAAATTATGCATCAGCGAATATTTCGTATAAATGGAATTGAGGCTATTAAATAGTATATACATTTTATTTCCCATAAATAAAAGTTGTTTTATTATCAGTGGAAACTTAGAATTAATAATCAAACTATAGATTCGATATTTTGTGGACTAGTATAAACTCTTTGAAGACAAATGTCACTAAATTTCGAATCGTATTGTTGAATAACCTAATTAAGAAGATATTCTCACGTGGAAATGACATTTTTAGTTAATTTTTGAGGTAAAAATTATTAGGTTATATCATAGATCAAGAAACTTACTATTTAACGTATATACGTTTAAATACATTCCAAAAAGATACAATATAATTTTTATCCAATTATATTTATTATTATGTAAGCTATTAAATATTTTTCTTACCGTTCTAATAAATTTTCAAGCTTCATTTTAATTTTAATTTTCAATTTAATTTTTAATTTAATGTTTAATTTAATTTTTAATTTTAGTTTATTTCGAATTTAATTTATTTCAATTTTTATCTTAAAATTGCTTTCATCTCCTTAACGACCATGTCCTTGTGAATTAAGATTTAGGATGATAAACGAGTAAGAAAATTCGAGTTTTTAATATATTATTTAAACAAATTAATTTTTCTTAAATATTACTATATAACTGCATTTTCCATTAAAAAGCTATATTTTGAAGACAAAATTTTTCTTCTGCTTCTTTTGATTCGAAAGATATTCCAAAAAATATATTTTTTACATCTAAATTGGGGGGCTAGTCATTCTTTTAATATAGATAATGACCGATAATAAAAAACTTCGCGTGAAATATTTTTTTAATAACTATCTCATATAAATTTCATCAAATTCGGTGTATGTTTTCTCGTAAGTCAAAAATCCAAAAGAGAAAATTTCATTTCTTATTTTATGTTGCATTAATTTGCATTATAATAATATAAAACTATTTTTATCAAAATAATAAAAAAACTAGATTTTTAAATTAACCATTCTCGTGTTAATACTGTTATAATATTATATAGAAATTCCCTTTATCGCGTGTTAACAACTGTATATATTCGTATTTCCTAAAATATCAATTACTTATAAATTTTGATTATTATTGTCATCACCATTATTATTATCGACATCATTATCATCATCATCATCATCATCATCATCATCATCATCATCATCATCATCATCATCATCACATTATCGACATCATTATCATCATCATCATCATCATCATCATCATCATTATCATCATCATCATCATTATCGACATCATTATCATCATCATCATCATCATCATCATCATCATCATCATCATTATCATCATCATCATCATTATCATCATCATCATCATCATCATCATCATCATCATCATCATCATCATCATCATCATCATCATCATCATATTTCAGATCTGAAAATTTGAATTCTCAGCATAGCTTTCGTTATGTCTAATAACAACTCAACCCTGTTTATACTTCC